CTATAAAAATAGAGATTTTCGAAAATTTTCTATAAAAATAGAGATTTTCGAAAATTTTCTATAAAAATAGAGATTTTCGAAAATTTTCTATAAAAATAGAGATTTTCGAAAATTTTCTATAAAAATAGAGATTTTCGAAAATTTTCTATAAAAATAGAGATTTTCGAAAATTTTGTATAAAAATAGAGATTTTCGAAAATTTTGTATAAAAATAGAGATTTTCGAAAATTGTCTATAAAAATAGAGATTTTCGAAAATTGTCTATAAAAATAGAGATTTTCGAAAATTGTCTATAAAAATAGAGATTTTCGAAAATTGTCTATAAAAATAGAGATTTTTGAAAATTTTCTATAAAAATAGAGATTTTCGAAAATTGTCTATAAAAATAGAGATTTTCGAAAATTGTCTATAAAAATAGAGATTTTCGAAAATTTTCTATAAAAATAGAGATTTTCGAAAATTTTCTATAAAAATGAAGATTTTCGAAAATTTTCTATAAAAATAGAGATTTTCGAAGAGTTTCTATAAAAATAGAGATTTTCGAAGAGTTTCTATAAAAATAGAGATTTTCGAAAAATTTCTATAAAAATAGAGATTTTGGAAAATTTCCTATAAAAATAGAGATTTTCGAAAATTTCCTATAAAAATAGAGATTTTCGAAAATTTCCTATAAAAATAGAGATTTTCGAAAATTTCCTATAAAAATAGAGATTTTCGAAAATTTCCTATAAAAATAGAGATTTTCGAAAATTTTCTATAAAATAGAGATTTTCGAAATTTTTTTATAAAAATAGAGATTTTCGAAAATATTTTTGCAAATTTTTCGTAAATTTCTTTAAAAATGGAGATTTTCATTGAAATTTCTTTGAAAATAGAAATAAAAATTTTCGAAAATTTTGTGAACCAGCCTAATATCGTTTAAGTTTGTAAGTGTAACTGTAATTTCAATAACATTATATGAGTAAATGTTTAAACTGGTATGTGGTACTCAAAGTCGAACACATGTAAATAATTGCGAAAATATTTGAAAAATAAAAAAACAGCAGAGAAATCTTAAAAAGAAGTTGGCTGAGAATGCCTTTAAATGACCCTATCTAGAGCAGATCCAATGTTTAGATAATTATAATATTTGTAAGAAATTAATTTTTTGTAATATATACGAGGATTATTATAAAAGAATTAGAGTCTTATTCATAAACTTTTATCAAAGGTTTATTAATCAAATTTTCATACCAAATTTGTTCTATAAACCTTTGATAAATGTTTATGAATAAGGCAGTTAGTATAAGGAAAATTTATAAAATGTTCAAAACTTTTAAAATTTTCAATTTGTTGTTGAATAGCTCCTGCTGACAAGCGATCTTAAATGAGGACAGTAAGATTGGTAAGAGAAATTTTATATGAGTTGAGATAAAAGAGTTAGGGTAAAGGGAGTAGTTTAGGAATTAAAAAGGGAGTACAAATTGCTTTTTTATGAAGTTGATGTAGTTCATAACTAAAACAACATCGAAAAATGGTAATTTGTGTCAAATTGTCAAATGCAATCTTGAACATAAATAAAATCTACTAAATTACTAAAGAAATCTTAACAGCAAAACCAAAAAATTTTTACAAAAAAAAAAAAAACAAGTAAGAGTGCTATATTCGGCTGTGCCGAATCTTATATACCCTTCACCATAGTGTATTTAAAAAATATAAATTTCATAAAATTTGAATTTATGTGCCTATTTAATTTTCCCGATTATATCATTATTATAGCAATAGCAAAACAAAATGAACAACAACAACGCTAAACGAAATAAACACTCAAAAAACAAAATACACAAGGCAGTAAAACCAACAGACATCCAAACATACGAAACGAAATACACAAAAAAACAAAAACAAAATACACAACGCAATGAAACCAACAGACATCAAACATACGAAACTGTACACCAACAAACAAAAACAATATACACAAGGCAATGAAACACACAGCCATCCAAACATACAAAACAAAATACTCGAAAAAAAACAAAAACAAAATACACAACGCAATCAAACCAACAGACATCCAAAAATACGAAACTGAATACACCAAGAAACAAAAACAATATACACATGCCAATGAAACACACAGCCATCCAAACATGTGAAACGAAATACTCAATGAATAAGCAGTGTTGTTGTTGTTGCTTATTAACCAAAGCATGAAAAAAATTGTCTTTTTTTATGAAATTTTCAGAGGTTGTCTCGGATTTTTGATTATATCTCCGTCATTTATGGACCGATTTTGCTGATTTTAAATAGCGATCTTCTCGAAAGCATGTCTAACAGAATTATTGAAGATTCGGATCACGCCGATATCTGGGGTCCTCTAAAAACTGATTTCAACAGACGGACAGACAGACGGACAGACAGACAGACAGACGGACAGACAGACAGACAGACAGACAGACAGACAGACAGACAGACAGACAGACAGACAGACAGACAGACGGACATGGCTTAATCGACTCCGCTATCTATAAGGATCCAGAATATACATACAGTGTCTCTCATAAGTATTCGAATTTAGGTAAACTATGAAAAGAAACCAAATTTAATAATATATTTTGTGTGGAAAATAAATAAATTAATTTGTTATATTGTCTAGATAGTCCTTATGTTTGATATCACGCTTTTTAAAACTTGAAAAATTTGCATTGACTTAAATTAATTGTGCTTTTTTAAAAAAAGTCCATGAAATTGCCTCACAAAAGTATGCGAATTTTTCCTGTATTTCATATTTGATCATATTATACGATACACAAATTTTAGAATCGCATGGTTTTATGCTTAATATTGTTTTAAGGGGTTACTATCAACCGCATGGATATATTTTTGACCCATTTGGTCCACAATTTTGGGGGATTTGTACCCTCTTTTCATGTAATATCATTAAAATGGCGATTTTTGGCTATATTTGTAATGTTTTCACCCTTTTTCCAGAGATAAAACCAAAATTTAATATTGGAATGTAATAGAACCCATAGGATATCTAAAAATAATATTTTTTGTTAAAGGGTCCGTACTTAATCGTTCCAAGATGTATTTTTGGTATCGTTTTTCAGTTTCTAATTGAATTATCTGGATCATAAGTCCCTTTTCGTACCTCTAGGGACCATATTTTCCGACAAAGTTGTCTAGTGTATATTCATGTACATATTGGCACTAATGTATTTTAAATTTTCAATATATTATAGCGGTATACAACCCCAAATCATGCCTTAACAAAACGTCATCCTATATAGTAGATTTCAGTTTTTACTACTCGTAACTTTCACGCTTATGTTGCCCGTTACAATAACACTGTAAGTTCTAAATTTTGGTTTTAATTTGATCATAGTAAATAATATTTAAACACATATCAACATTTTTGATGTGATCATAATGATATCGTGCCATGCAGCATGGAGGCCATTGGTATATAAAAATAATGATTTTACTATTTTGAATGGTGCTTCTTCGAGGCATGTTTTGGAGTTGTACACTTCCACAACACATTGAAAACTTAAAATGTATAAAAGCTGATATCTAAAAGAATATATACCAGAAAACTTTCCCCGAAAATAGTTGATCCTAGTATTATAAAAATGGACTTAAGTTCCAATATATTGAATTAGCGACAGAAGAATGATCCGAATAATTTATCTTGGAACGTTTAAATACAGATTCTTGTAACAAAAATATTATTTTTAGATACCCCAAGGGGTCTTTTAAGTCCCAATATCAAATTTTTGTTTTATCTCTGGAAAAAAGGATACAAATTTACAATTATGGCCAAAAATCGCCATTTTAATGATATTACATGAAAAGAGGGTACAAATTCCCCAAAATTGTGGACCAAATGGTCCAAAAATATACCCTTTCCGTGGATAGTAACCCCTTAAAACAATATTACGAATAAAAACCATTCGATTCTAAAATTTGTGTTGCGTTTAATATGATCAAATATGAAATACAGGAAAAATTCGTATACTTTTGTGAGGCAATTTCATGGACTTTTTTTAAAAAAGCACAATTAATTTAAGTCAATGCAAATTTTTCAAGTTTTAAAAAGCGTGATATCAAACATAAGGACTATCTAGACAATATAACAAATTAATTTATTTATTTTGCACACAAAATATATTATTAAATTTGGTTTCTTTTTATAGTTTACCCAAATTCGAATAATTATGAGAGACACTGTACATATATACTTTATAGGGTCGGAAAATTATATTATAGAAATTACAAACGGAATGACAAACTTATATATACCCTTCTCACGAAGGTGAAGGGTATAAAAATAGTGAAAATCATGTGATGATCGTTGGAAATTTACAACAAAAAACTAAAAAAAAACCAAAATAAATTTACAACGTTTTAACAAATGTGCGTAAAGTAGTCAAGTTGTCAAACTTGTTTCAAGTTTCTATTTTCTCAACAAATCTACGAAAGCTGCAGCAAGCAAACATTTTCAAATGCAACATGGAATAAGAAATCTTAAAAAAAAAAATATTACAACTTAATGTTAAAGTAAACAAAAATTCAAACACACAAAGTTTATGGCACAACACAAGTAACTAGATACGTTATATCTAACAACATATCTATCGGTCTATGTATCTATTTGATGGAACGGTCAACTTCCTTATAATTGCAACTAGCTACAAGGAAAAAAAAAACGCCTATTTACTGTATTTTCTAATTTTTTTTCTAAACAACACATATTTTTTTGTTGTAGATCTCAACTATTAAGCAGCTATAATAATTTGAAAGAAAAACAAAAAAAAAAAAAAAAAAAAAAACATAAAATAAAATGACTTTAAAAACCAGTAGTGATTTGTAAAAAATAACAGAAAAAAAAAACAAGAAAAATTATATTAAAGAAAAAAAAAAAAAAAATTGCCTGTAAAAGTGCCTCAACACTTCTTCCCAGCCATCGTGTAGTGTCCACCACATAGTGGGTTTCTGCATGCAGCATTCACATTATGGAAGAAGATGTTTTAAACGCTTTACAAACTCGCACGGCCTATTTACCCGGTAGTTTTGATCGTGATGGCAAAATAATTTTCATTGTCAGTCTAATCAATGAACTGCAGAGTTGGCAGCGTAAATGTTTGGAATTATCTATAACGTATTTAAAACGTTCATTAAGGTAAGTTTTGAAATTTTGTTTTTAAAGTTTCTTTTGATTCGTTATAGATTTATTAAGGTCTTAATAATTCTTTACTGATTGTCTTCTTTGGCTTTGTTCAATGTTTTAAGAAAGTTTTCGCTTTTTTTAATAATTCTTTTGTTTATAATTCTTCTTATTCTTTTTATTTTTTTTGGTTATAAACATTAATAATTCCATTTTATTATGTTGTATTGTTATTAATCTTATTCATTTTTTATTTATTAAAAAGAACTTTTTCTTTTTTTTTATTGTTTAAAAAAAATGTTTTAGAGTATTTTCTAACAAAGATATAAATATTTTAAAATTGAAAACATTTAAGATTGTTGAAAGATTTAGAAATTTATAATAGAAGCTAAAAGTGTTTAAATTTATATGTATTTTAATATTTATCTATTTATTAAATTTAAATAAATATTAGTAAAAGTTTTATATTGGGTATTCTAAATTTCTAATAAATCAGAATATGTCAATATTATAGTTCACACAGTCTAGTCTATAGACAAGATTATAAAGAAGACTATATAAACTATAGACAGGACTATAAACCAGCATATACTACAGACCAGACCAAAGATTATAGTCCAAAGTGTAGATAAGGCTATTTACAAGACTACAGACCGACTATCGGCTGTACTATAGAACAGACAATAATCAGATTCCAGACTATAGACTCTAGATAACAAGACTAGACTTTAGTACAGAGCATAGATCGCAGTTCTAGGAATAGACTTGACGAAAGTTCAGACTGTAGTATAAAATATAATCCAGATTATAGTCTAGCTTAAAATCCACATTATAGAATAGACTATAGCTCTGATTATAGCATACTTACACTATAGTCTAGACTCCAGACTATAGCCGAGTCAGTAGCCCAGAATATAGACTAGTCTGTAGTTTAGAATCTTGACTAGACCATAGTCCAGACTGTAGGCTATATTACAAACTATAGACTATATTCCAGACTATAAACTAGATTATAGTCCAGATTATAGACTAGACTATAGTCCAGACTATAGACTATACTATAGTCCAGACTATAGACTATACTATAGTCTAGACTATAGATTAGACTATAGTCCAGAATATAGAATAGACTATACTTCAAACTATAGACCAGACTATAGACTGAACTATAGTCCAAATTATAGACTGCACTATGTACCAGACTATAGATTCCACTATAGTCCATACTATAAACTACACTATAGTTCAGAATTAAGACTACGCTATAGTCCAGACTATAGACTGCACTATAGTGCATACTATAGACTATAGTCTAGTCTATAGTCTTGACTAAAGACTAGACTATAGTCTAGACTATAGTCCAGACTATAGAATAGACTATAGAATAGACTATAGACTAGACTATAGTGCAGACTATAGTCTAGTCTATAGTCTATTCTATAGTCTGGACTATAGTCTATTCTATAGTCTGGACTATAGTCTATTCTATAGACTGCACTATAATGCATACTATAGACTATAGTCTAGTCTATAGTCTTGACTAAAGACTAGACTATAGTCCAGACTATAGTCCAGACTATAGAATAGACTATAGACTAGACTATAGTCTAGACAATAGACTAGACTATAGTCCAGACTATAGCCTAGACTATAGTCCAGACTATAGCCAAGACTATAGTCCAGACTATAGAATAGACTATAGACTAGACTATAGTCCAGACTATAGACTAGACTATAGTCCAGACTATGGACTAGACTATAGTCCAGACTATAGACTAGACTATAGTCCAGACTATAGACTAGACTATAGTCCAGACTATAGACTAGACTATAGTCCAGACTATAGACTAGACTATAGTCCAGACTATAGACTAGACTATAGTCCAGACTATAGACTAGACTATAGTCCAGACTATAGACTAGACTATAGTCCAGACTATAGACTAGACTATAGTCCAAACTATAGACTAGACTATAGTCCAGACTATAGAACAGACTATAATCCAGACTATAGAATAGACTATAGTCCGGACTATAGAATAGACTATAGTCCAGACTATAGAATAGACTATAGTCCGGACTATAGAATAGACTATAGTCCAGACTATAGAATAGACTATAGTCCGGACTATAGAATAGACTATAGTCCGGACTATAGAATAGACTATAGTCCAGATTATAGAATAGACTATAGTCCAGACTATAGAATAGACTATAGTCCGGACTATAGAATAGACTATAGTCCAGATTATAGAATAGACTATAGTCCAGACTATAGAATAGACTATAGTCCAGACTATAGAATAGACTATAGTCCGGACTATAGAATAGACTATAGTCCAGATTATAGAATAGACTATAGTCCAGACTATAGAATAGACTATAGTCCATACTATAGAATAGACTATAGTCCAGCCTATAGAATAGACTATAGTCCAGACTATAGAATAGACTATAGTCCAGACTATAGAATAGACTATAGTCCAGACTATAGAATAGACTATAGTCCAGACTATAGAATAGACTATAGTCCAGACTATAGAATAGACTATAGTCCAGACTATAGAATAGACTATAGTCCAGACTATAGAATAGACTATAGTCCAGACTATAGAATAGACTATAGTCCAGACTATAGAATAGACTATAGTCCAGACTATAGAATAGACTATAGTCCAGACTAAAGAATAGACTATATTCCAGACTATAGAAGAGGATACAGTCGAGACTATAGACTAAACTATAGTCCAGATTATAGACTAAACGTCCAGACTATAGACTAGACATAGACTAGACTATAGTCCAGACTATAGACTAGACTATATTTCAGACTATAAACTAAAGTATAGCCCAGGCTATAGACTACACTACAGTCTAGACTATAGGCTGCACAGAAGTCCATATAATAGAGTGCACTATAGTTCAGACTACAGACTATAGTCAAGTGACTAGACTATAGTCCAGAATGTAGAGTTTAAACTATGGTATAGTCTGTTTCGTTGTCTTTAGTGTGGGTTATAGTACGGATTACATGCTAGACTATAGTCCCGTCTACAGCTCAGTCTACAGTTTAGTCTAACTGGTATTAAACTATAAACTAGACTATAGTTCAGATTAATCCAAACTTTAGCCGTTGCTATTGTTAAATTAAAATTATCTATCTTGAATGTTTTTTTGTTGGACTTATAACAAATTGTAAATTATTGTTTTATAAAACATAACAAATTTGTCACATATTTTAAAACTTTTGTTTAAAGCCACACATTTTGGTTACAAATGGTTAATTTCTGGCGTTGACTGATCACAGAGTCTAAACAACAGGGGTGCATTCAAATGGAAATTTATTTTTGTAGGCCTGAATTATAATAATAAAATACTTAATCTCAAAGATAAAAACAATCAAATAAATTAGATAAAATTAATCTTGGAAATATAAAACAAATAAAATAAAAAAAGTATTCACCCTTGGCTAAAAATCATTTGATAAAAACTAACAAACATCAATCATAAAATCAAGTTAGAAAACTAGTTTTTAAAAATTTATGCTAAATAATGATTTAGAGAAAAAGTTAATAAATTTATTTTAAGAATTTGTCGTTTTGTTTTAATTTGTTTACAGTGATGTCATTTTACAAAAGGGTGTGACCATTATAGTGGATGCCCAAAAGACCACGGCTCGTATAAATCGTCATCATGCACGATTTATTTATAATTTATTTGAAGGTCTAACAGTCAATCTATATCTAGTCAAATCGGAAGGATTTTGGGAAAAACATGTGGAAACCTGTACAAAGTCACAGACAAAAGGAGAGGTAATTGGAGAGACTAGTTTTTCCTTTATCCTCAATTTAAATACTTTATCTTCTTTTCTCAATTTTTTTAGCCCATTGTTTTATCTAGATCTCGTTTAATGAAATATTTCGATTTAACCAGTTTACCGGAAGAATTAGGTGGCCAACTACAGTACAATTATGATTTATGGTTGCAGCAAAGAAAGGTAAATATATGTCTTTAGTTGAAAATAATTGTGTCAAGTAATTTTTCTTTTCGTTAAATATTAAAATTCATTTTTTTCTTTTTAAAAATTTTATAACAGTCCATTGATGAGTTTGTTAAAATTTACGACAATTGTTTAGCAGCCATGGAAAGTTTACAAAAATTATTGCAGTGTAATAAATCAATACGAGCAACGGAAGCGGATGCAGAGCTAAAGAAATACTCACAAATGCATGCTACGGTGCAGTGTAGTATTGAAACTGTCATAGAAATGGGTGAGTAAGTTAGTGAGAAATACATATTTATAATTTTTTCCCAAATACAGTAAATATTTAAAAATTTACATAACTTTCTTTAACATATTACTAAAACTTAAGTAATAGCTGTGCATTATATAAATACAGTTACTAAAAATTATTACTTTTTTTTTTGTTAATTTTTCTTTTCGGTTTTTAACACATAAATATTAATGAGCTTTTTTGTTATGATATTCTCTTTAAGTAATTAGTTTTAGTTTCAACAGGTTCTGTTTTTTTTCATACTACTGGTTAGACTAATTGTTTGAGTTTTTTGTGTTCATTTAGAAGATTAAAATTAATGTGGAAGAAAATAATTTATTTTAAACATTAAATAATGTTTGTATTAAATAATATTTCTTCACTGAACATTAAGAAAAGTTAATTAATATAATCATGCCATAAAATTATGATTATCAGTATTTTGTAGTTTTTTTGTTATTATGAGTTTGTAGCTTAAGTCTTTCGTTTTACGTTGAGTTAAGCACAATTTCGACACATTCTCTGTTTTTAGAAAATTTTTGATATTTTACTTTTTGTTTTTTCGAAAATTTTCTGGTTCATTTCTAGTTCCAATTCAGTTCTAGTTCAGTACTAGTTCAGTTTTAGTTCAGTTCTAGTTCAGTTCTAGTTCAGTTCTAGTTCAGTTCTAGTTCAGTTCTAGTTCAGTTCTAGTTCAGTTCTAGTTCAGTTCTAGTTCAGTTCTAGTTCAGTTCTAGTTCAGTTCTAGTTCAGTTCTAGTTCAGTTCTAGTTCAGTTCTAGTTCAGTTCTAGTTCAGTTCTAGTTCAGTTCTAGTTCGGTTAGTTCGTTCTAGTTCAGTTCTAGTTCAGTTCTAGTTCAGTTCTAGTTCAGTTCTAGTTCAGTTCTAGTTCAGTTCTAGTTCAGTTCTAGTTCAGTTCTAGTTCAGTTCTAGTTCAGTTCTAGTTCAGTTCTAGTTCAGTTCTAGTTCAGTTCTAGTTCAGTTCTAGTTCAGTTCTAGTTCAGTTCTAGTTCAGTTCTAGTTCAGTTCTAGTTCAGTTCTAGTTCAGTTCTAGTTCAGTTCTAGTTCAGTTCTAGTTCAGTTCTAGTTCAGTTCTAGTTCAGTTCTAGTTCAGTTCTAGTTCAGTTCTAGTTCAGTTCTAGTTCAGTTCTAGTTCAGTTCTAGTTCAGTTCTAGTTCAGTTCTAGTTCAGTTCTAGTTCAGTTCTAGTTCAGTTCTAGTTCAGTTCTAGTTCAGTTCTAGTTCAGTTCTAGTTCAGTTCTAGTTCAGTTCTAGTTCAGTTCTAGTTCAGTTCAGTTCTAGTTCAGTTCTAGTTCAGTTCTAGTTCAGTTCTAGTTCAGTTCTAGTTCAGTTCTAGTTCAGTTCTAGTTCAGTTCTAGTTCAGTTCTAGTTCAGTTCTAGTTCAGTTCTAGTTCAGTTCTAGTTCAGTTCTAGTTTAGTTCTAGTTTAGTTCTAGTTCAGTTCTAGTTCAGTTCTAGTTCAGTTCTAGTTCAGTTCTAGTTCAGTTCTAGTTCAGTTCTAGTTCAGTTCTAGTTCAGTTCTAGTTCAGTTCTAGTTCAGTTCTAGTTCAGTTCTAGTTCAGTTCTAGTTCAGTTCTAGTTCAGTTCTAGTTCAGTTCTAGTTTAGTTCTAGTTCAGTTCTAGTTCAGTTCTAGTTCAGTTCTAGTTTAGTTCTAGTTCAGTTCTAGTTTAGTTCTAGTTTAGTTCTAGTTCAGTTCTAGTTCAGTTCTAGTTCAGTTCTAGTTCAGTTCTAGTTCAGTTCTAGTTCAGTTCTAGTTCAGTTCTAGTTCAGTTCTAGTTCAGTTCTAGTTCAGTTCTAGTTCAGTTCAATTCAGATCTAGTTCAGTTCAGTTCTATTTCGTGCCTTATATTGGTCTTAATAACAAAAGAAGTAAACAATTAAACAATTTTATATCCACAAACGTGATTATTAAACTTTTTCTCCCTCTCTGTCTATTTGTTAAGAATTTGCAAAAAATAGTAAAAAATAGTTGCCTTGACTGTATTTAAGTTTTTTTGTGGTCGTGGTTTTTTCTTTTGTGTTGTAGTTTAATTTCAAACATAATTTTGCCTTGAGGCTTTGAACATATTTTTAATGACAGTTAATTTTATGTCGTTGTTTTTATTTTTTTGCCTAATTGGTATTGAACAATTATTTGTTTTAGACAAGTTGGTTAGAGTTTATTTTGTGGCAAAAATAAAATTGTGTAAAAACAAACCTTTTAAAAATTTAGGTCTTTGGTGTTTAAAGTAAAAATTTCTTTAGGTTTATAGTTTGACATTTATAATTGATGTGTTATAAGTTGTGAATTAGTGGCTAATGTAAAAATGATTTATTAATAAGTTTTACTGCTTGCATTAAAGGTGTTTATTAATCAATTTTATTGTCATTAGATTTTAACAATGTTCAACACATTGGAAATTAAAAAAAATTTTTAAGTCGAAACTTGGTCTATGCCGAAAAGAACTAAGACAATTGAATCTTGTACTTTTTGTAGCTTTTATTGTGATTTATTACATTTTAGCTAAAAAGCGATCAAAATTATAAAATATATTTCTTATCAAACCTCTTTCGAACCTTTAACTAGTTTGAAACAACCTGTTCATGTTGCTCAAACTTTGTTCAGTTTGTTGTGTTCTCTGTCAAACTAGTTTAAGTTGTGTATGAAGTTAATGTTAATATTTTCAGAGAAGTTTTGCACTAAAAAAACTAGTAGGATTTTAAACATAAACAATTTTTTATGTTGATGCAAGTAATATGTATTAAAATAGAGGATTATAGATTTGGGTCAGATAAAAATTCAATTAATACACTTATTTTGACAACTGAATATTTTATGAACTCCTCAAGCTAGATTTCACAATTAAAGATTTCAATTAAATAAAAGTTGCAATATAAGAGACTAATAAAATTAAGCTAAAATTATTTTTTAAAAAAAGTGTTGAATTTCAAGTTTTTACCTAAAGTTTCACTTCTTTGATTACCTCCACCTCCAGAACTCGCCTTCATCTAACGTACTTGTCAGTCTCTCTTTCAAAATCTAATTGTTATTCTTAACAAATCCTACAAGTTCTTAAGCGTTTAATAGCAAATAATAAGAACAAAACGTACATAATGTTTTCAACAATTACTCCAACTATTACACCAACATGTACAATAAAATTACCACACGCACATGCGTAAAAAGCCAAGAAATCAGTGTTGTTGTTTTCGCTTAAAAGCTTCAATATCGGCCGGGTGCTTTATTACATTGAAAAACGTCACCCAACCAACGACGTTCAAAGTGAATGACATGTATGACACGAACACAAATGGGCCGTAAAACTTTAGCAACACCTTAGACACGTACAACAACAACATTGAGAACGGCAACAACGATAACTATACAAATAATAACAACTTTTCTTAAAACGTGTTTACGTTTAAACTTGGCCAATGTTGATCGCATGTGATCTATAACTACTATGATTTTATTGAGCGCACAGGTAGTTGGAATTTTGTTTTTGTCTTTAAATTTATTTTTATTGTATTGTTAATGAAGAATTGATAGAATTTGTTTTGATACTTATGATACAATGGCAACGGACTATACTATAATCTGGACTTATGAATCGAATATAGGCTGGGCTTAAGAATCAACTTTAGCAGAACAAGAACACAACCTGAACTAGAACTTAACTAGAACTGAACTAGAACTTAACTAGAACTGAACTACAACTGAACTACAACTGAACTAGAACTGAACTAGAACTGAACTAGAACTGAACTAGAACTGAACTGAACTAGAACTGAACTAGAACTGAACTAGAACTGAACTAGAACTGAACTAGAACTGAACTAGAAACTGAACTAGAACTGAACTAGAACTGAACTAGAACTGAACTAGAACTGAACTAGAACTGAACTAGAACTGAACTAGAACTGAACTAGAACTGAACTAGAACTGAACTAGAACTGAACTAGAACTGAACTAGAACTGAACTAGAACTGAACTAGAACTGAACTAGAACTGAACTAGAACTGAACTAGAACTGAACTAGAACTGAACTAGAACTGAACTAGAACTGAACTAGAACTGAACTAGAACTGAACTAGAACTGAACTAGAACTGAACTAGAACTGAACTAGAACTGAACTAGAACTGAACTAGAACTGAACTAGAACTGAACTAGAACTGAACTAGAACTGAACTAGAACTGAACTAGAACTGAACTAGAACTGAACTAGAACTGAACTAGAACTGAACTAGAACTGAACTAGAACTGAACTAGAACTGAACTAGAACTGAACTAGAACTGAACTAGAACTGAACTAGAACTGAACTAGAACTGAACTAGAACTGAACTAGAACTGAACTAGAACTGAACTAGAACTGAACTAGAACTGAACTAGAACTGAACTAGAACTGAACTAGAACTGAACTAGAACTGAACTAGAACTGAACTAGAACTGAACTAGAACTGAACTAGAACTGAACTAGAACTGAACTAGAACTGAACTAGAACTGAACTAGAACTGAACTAGAACTGAACTAGAACTGAACTAGAACTGAACTAGAACTGAACTAGAACTGAACTAGAACTGAACTAGAACTGAACTAGAACTGAACTAGAACTGAACTAGAACTGAACTAGAACTGAACTAGAACTGAACTAGAACTAGAACTGAACTAGAACTGAACTAGAACTGAACTAGAACTGAACTAGAACTGAACTAGAACTGAACTAGAACTGAACTAGAACTGAACTAGAACTGAACTAGAACTGAACTAGAACTGAACTAGAACTGAACTAGAACTGAACTAGAACTGAACTAGAACTGAACTAGAACTGAACTAGAACTGAACTAGAACTGAACTAGAACTGAACTAGAACTGAACTAGAACTGAACTAGAACTGAACTAGAACTGAACTAGAACTGAACTAGACTGAACTAGAACTGAACTAGAACTGAAATAGAACTGAACTAGAACTAGAACTTTAAGTTGCTTTTAAAAATCGATCATTTAATATTGTAAAGAAATATTTGTTAAAATACAACAAACAACTTATTTTTTCTTTAAATTTGTTCAAATACAAATAAGATAAACTTGTTGAAAATGTTGGTAAATTGTGTAAACTTTAAAGAAAATAGAAAGTTGTTTGGTTTCACCATTAGGTTAATTAAGACGATTTATTTATGTTTGGGAATAAATCTTAATCTTCCATACCACCATAATAAAACACATGTAAATCAATTTTAAATTTATTTAGTTTTCATTTCTATTTAAAATTTTATTTTTATAGGTAATCGTATCTTAACACGTTTCAATGAAGTCTATTCCCCAACCCCGCCCGTAAACAATAGCAAAAATCATTTCAATGCAACCGCAGCCAAAACCAATGCAACAACAACAACGGCAATTAATGACCATGATGTTCATACACCTGTTGCAACCGCAAATGGTTGGATTAAACGAACTTTACCGCCAGATTTGAATTGTGAACGGGCACGTATTGAGATGCGTTTAAATGAAATTGAGAAACGACAAACTGATTTACGCACAGCCTGGTTGGAACTTATACAGACCGTGAGAGAGGCTAGAGAATTGGCTAACTTGGAAGAAGGGGTGGCCTTTGTAACAAATTGGATTTTGAATACCGCAGAACAAATGTTGAATCGTCAAACCGCCATTGGGTGTGACGTTAAGGCCTGTGAAAATTTGCGTTCGGCCCATGACAAATTCGAATTGGAATGTCGTGAAACTTATGGGTTCTATGCGGAGCTGTTGTATAAAATAGAATCGTATATAGGTTCAAAAGATTCACCAGCTTATCGTGACCTGTTGTCGCAAAAAGAATTCATGCAGTTTGTTTGTCGTTCGTTTGCAACGCGTCTGGAGAGAAGACGTAACATATTAATTACTTCATTGAGGTTTTATCGGCTGGTAACTGAATATTTCGATAAAACCACAGAAGTATTTGAGTCACTAGTCATGGGTGGTAGTGGTGGTAAGATGGAAGACTTTACAAAAGCATCTGGCACATTGCAAAAACTAAAAAGCAGTCAACTAAGTTTGGGTGAGTCGAAGTCACAACATTCTTGTGGTTGCAACCAAACAAAACGAATACCAAATAATTTTCTTTGTTACTTCTTTCTCAGCCTCCATTGAACGTGAACTAATAAAGGAGGGTGAAAAACTCAGCGACATACTGTCAATGCCCGTTAAAGATGCTCTTGGCCGTGACCTACACATCGACTATAGCGATGATATTTGTAGTGTGCGCGAAATTTTAGATACAACGCTGGCGCGCCGCAAAATCTTTAGCGATAGTGTGGAATTGCAAAAACTCACCTTGGAACAGGTGACACACATTTATACGTATGAACAGGATGCCTGTATGGCGATCAAATGGTTGGATGATTTGTACAATGTCATGATCAAGTGCCATTCGCATGTAGGTTGTAATATACACGAAATACAGGTGCAAAAGGATGAATTGCAAACATTTCAAGAAACTGGAAAGGTGAGTTTTTCTTCATGCCTTTTCAGTTGGTGGTATTTTTATTGTAGTTGTTTTAGTGTTGCCTTGTTAAATGAGTTTGTGTGCAGCTGACAAAAAGGGTTGCCAAGAAGATCGATGTAACGTTCAATTTCATTGGTCTTGGAAATAACTTGAACAATCAGTATCCCGGAACTTAACTAGAACTGAACTAGATCTAAACTAGAACTGAACTAGAACTGAACTAGAACTGAACTAGGACTGAACTAGAACTTTATTAGAACTGAACTAGAACTGAACTAGAACTGAACTAGAACTGAACTAGAACTGAACTAGAACTGAACTGAACTAGAACTGAACTAGAACTGAACTAGAACTGAACTAGAACTGAACTAGAACTGAACTAGAACTGAACTAGACTGAACTAGAACTGAACTAGAACTGAACTAGAAACTGAACTAGAACTGAACTAGAACTGAACTAGAACTGAACTAGAACTGAACTAGAACTGAACTAGAACTGAACTAGAACTGAACTAGAACTGAACTAGAACTGAACTAGAACTGAACTAGAACTGAACTAGAACTGAACTAGAACTGAACTAGAAACTGAACTAGAACTGAACTAGAACTGAACTAGAACTGAACTAGACTGAACTAGAACTGAACTAGAACTGAACTAGAACTGAACTAGAACTGAACTAGAACTGAACTAGAACTGAACTAGAACTGAACTAGAACTGAACTAGAACTGAACTAGAACTGAACTGACTAGAACTGAACTAGAAACTGAACTAGAACTGAACTAGAACTGAACTAGAACTGAACTAGAACTGAACTAGAACTGAACTAGAACTGAACTAGAACTGAACTAGAACTGAACTAGAACTGAACTAGAACTGAACTAGAACTGAACTAGAACTGAACTAGAACTGAACTAGAACTGAACTAGAACTGAACTAGAACTGAACTAGAACTGAACTAGAACTGAACTAGAACTGAACTAGAACTGAACTAGAACTGAACTAGAACTGAACTAGAACTGAACTAGAACTGAACTAGAACTGAACTAGAACTGAACTAGAACTGAACTAGAACTGAACTAGAACTGAACTAGAACTGAACTAGAACTGAACTAGAACTGAACTAGAACTGAACTAGAACTGAACTAGAACTGAACTAGAACTGAACTAGAACTGAACTAGAACTGAACTAGAACTGAACTAGAACTGAACTAGAACTGAACTAGAACTGAACTAGAACTGAACTAGAACTGAACTAGAACTGAACTAGAACTGAACTAGAACTGAACTAGAACTAGAACTAAACTAGAATTGAACTAGAACTGAACTAGAACTGAACTAGAACTGAACTAGAACTGAACTAGAACTGAATTAGAACCATAACTGAACTAGAACTGAAGACTCTGTTTGAGTGTAGCCCTTACCCAACACTCTTCCCTCAACAATAATTACAATTCCATCATTGGCAACTCTCTCTGTTCACCGCCTCGTTTAAAAACAATGCAGTTATTCTGGTTACACTTGAATGTACGAACAAATTAGGAATACTCTGGGGTTTCAGTTGATCATCATTATTATTACTATTATTGTTATTGGCTTACTACTAAGTCTCTCTACTCTTCCCATCTGTTTGGATATGAGTTAAGTATTTTTTAGGTTGGTCAGCTGTAACAATTTTCTAGAGCGCGCCTGGAACAATGGTTGTTGTACAACTGTGTAGTTTTATGTTGCTTATAAGTAACACTTGTTTTGTTACCGTTAATAGTTTTGGCGGCTTGTTGTCGTTTGTTTGACTTTTTGTAGGTTTATTTGCAACAATTGTGGGTATTTTTATGATGCAACGTTTTGATTACCCATATCATTATTATGATTATTATTTTTATGTTTAATGCTAAAATAACAGATCATTTTGAGCGATTTTCTATTGGCAAACAGGAAGTTGATTGTTAAAATGGTTCTGAGTGAAAGGAAATAGTGAGATGAATAACAAAAAGATTGATAATGATTGATGTTTTTTGTTTATTATTAAGAGTAGTGAAGTTAAAATATTAAGGCAAAACATTAATAATTGTAAAACTTTGACTTAGAGCTGACTTAAAACTGAACTAGATCTAAACTAGAATTGGATTAAAACTGAACTAAAATTGAACTAGAACTGAACTAGAACTGAACTAAAACTGAACTAAAACTGATCTAGAATTGAACTAGAACTGAACTAGAACAAAACTGGAACTGAACTAGAATTGAACTAGAACTGAACTAAAACTGAACTAAAACTGAACTAAAACTGAACTAGAACTGAACTAGAACTGAACTAGAACTGAACTAGAACTGAACTAGAACTGAACTAGAACTGAACTAGAACTGAACTAGAACTGAACTAGAACTGACTTAGAACTGAATTAGAACTGAACTAGAACGGAACTAGAACTGAACTAGCACTGAACTAGAACTGAACTAGAACTGAACTAGAACTGAACTACAACTGAAACTAGAACTGAACTAGAACTGAACTAGAACTGAACTAGAACTGAACTATAACTGAACTAGAACTGAACTAGAACTGAACTAGAACTGAACTAGAACTGAACTAGAACGGAACTAGAACTACTAGAACTGACTGAAACTAGAACTGAACTAGAACTGAACTAGAACTGAACAGAACTGAACTAGAACTGACTAGAACTGAACTAGAACTGAACTAGAACTGAACTAGAACTGAACTAGAACTGAACTAGAACTGAACTAGAACTGAACTAGAACTGAACTAGAACTGAACTAGAACTGAACTAGAACTGAACTAGAACTGAACTAGAACTGAACTAGAACTGAACTAGAACTGAACTAGAACTGAACTAGAACTGAACTAGAACTGAACTTGAACTGAACTAGAACTGAACTAGAACTGAACTAGAACTGAACTAGAACTGAACTAGAACTGAACTAGAACTGAACTAGAACTGAACTAGAACTGAACTAGAACTGAACTAGAACTGAACTAGAACTGAACTAGAACTGAACTAGAACTGAACTAGAACTGAACTAGAACTGAACTAGAACTGAACTAGAACTGAACTAGAACTGAACTAGAACTGAACTAGAACTGAACTAGAACTGAACTAGAACTGAACTAGAACTGAACTAGAACTGAACTAGAACTGAACTAGAACTGAACTAGAACTGAACTAGAACTGAACTAGAACTGAACTAGAACTGAACTAGAACTGAACTAGAACTGAACTAGAACTGAACTAGAACTAGAACTAAAGAACTAGAACTGAACTAGAACTGAACTAGAACTGAACTAGAACTGAACTAGAACTGAACTAGAACTGAACTAGAACTAGAACTGAACTAGAACTGAACTAGAACTGAACTAGAACTGAACTAGAACTGAACTAGAACTGAACTAGAACTGAACTAGAACTGAACTAGAACTGAACTAGAACTGAACTAGAACTGAACTAGAACTGAACTAGAACTGAACTAGAATTGAACTAGAACTGAACTAGAACTGAACTAGAACTGAACTAGAACTGAAGTAGAACTGAACTAGAACTGAACTAGAACTGAACTAGAACTGAACTAGAACTGAACTAGAACTGAACTAGAACTGAACTAGAACTGAACTAGAACTGAACTAGAACTGAACTAGAACTGAACGAGAAATGAACTAGAACTGAACTTGAACTGAATGGAATCTAAATATTTATTTATTGAAAAGCAATTCATTTCTATAACTTTTAGCTTGTTGTAATAAATCCTTCTGATCTAAATATCTGAATTGCAACAATTTCACAAATATTATTTTCAATTACATATCAAATTTGTAACTTAAGCTGACATTAAATGAAAACATTAAAATGTTAGGCACACGCTTTATTTCCAATCTACTTTCAACAGTTTTTCTTACCACATTTTGATGTAGATAAAACCTTTCAAATGTTTCAAAGTCTGCCGTTAAGAAAAATAAAAAAACATCATTATTAACAATTTCTCTAAACCAGAAATCAAGAAATAAAAATATTTTAAAGCAGTGAAAGGTAACGAGAAAAAATATCAACACTTTGTTAAAAAAAACTATTAGTAATTTAAGCTACAAATGGGCTTTTTTTGTTTGTTCATTTTGGTTTTATGATATTGTTATTGTTTACGGCAAAAACATGAACATGAGTTAAAATACTAAAGGTAATGGATGATGGATTTTTATGAAATTAAGAAATAAAAGCACGTGCTTTTAGAAATGTTAAAAAAATATGAATTACCCTAAGACCCTGAATGAAGTTTCCTTTTCTTTCTTTCTTTGTTTTCACAGAGTATCTTCAACTATGGTTGTCAATTGCTGGAGGCATCGCAAACCCTGCGCAGCACCTGCAAGCTAGAGGTAACAGAAGCTTTGCTAATGCAACAACAATTGGAAAAAACTTGGCATAGTCTACAGGCTATAAGTCAAGAGCATATGACACGTTTACGCGTCTCAGCGGTATTTCATCGCAGTGTTGAAGACTATTGCCAACAATTAATCGAACTTAGAAGATGTCTGCGCAGCATGTTGCAACAACAGCAGGCCCAGCTAAGGCAACAGCAACGCAGCAGTAGTAGTGGCATAAGTAGTGAATCGGAATTTCAAACACAATCTCCTTCATCATCAGCAGCATCTACGAATGTTGATCAGGCAAGAACGACTTCACGTTCCATACAACAGCAACAACAGCAAAGACAACATTTGCAGCAGACACAACAACAACACAGTTCTTTAGTTGATGGTGGTGATCATAATGCCGAAGCTGCTGTTGCCGCTGAAAAGTCATTAAATGAACAACGTGAATTGTTGCGCAAGTATTTAATGGAACGTGAAAAACTTTTGGTAGAAGTAGGTCGCATGGTACGTTTGGGAAGGTTACTGAAAACACGTTTAAAAGAACCTTTCGTCTTGGATGCTGCCACAGGCAAGAGGTTTGTAAGATTTCTCTTGTTGAATTTTTATACAAAAACGAATTTCTTTTATTATTTTTGGTAGTTGAAAAAAATGGCATATAATTTTCTATTGATTAAGAGAAAAACGAGATAATGTAAACAATTGCTGTTGTTGTCGTTGCCACAACAGTAGACAACAATTGTGGTGTTGACATAGAAAGTAACACTTTTCCTTCTTGGTAGAGTCAAAGTCAACGAACTTTTTTTTTTTTTTATAAAAAAGCCGCCTTTACTTGGGCATCGTAGAATTGTTGTTGTTATTGTTGTTGCAACAATTAACATTCTATGTTTGTGTTGTGCTTAATAAACGTAAATTAATGCTAATTATAAACATATTTTTAAAATGCACTCGTATGCAAACACTCACTCACTCTCTATCTTAAGTAAACACTTACGTGTTTAGTCTGCATTTATGCTGTTCGTTAATACACACCTTTTTTGAGGATGTATCAAAAAAAGTATGGGTCGTCCAATCTTGGGTTCAGTAATCATTTGTGCTTTATAATGAAAGCTATTCATATATGATACAATATATAAAACACTAAACTATTACTAGTATCTGGAAATAGTCTAAATTATTGACCAGACTAGACTACAGTTCAGACTATAGACTATACTATAGACTCAATACTGTAAACTAGACTATAGTCACGACTATAGACTTGACTATAGTCCAGACTATGTATTAGACTATATTCCCGACTTTAGATTAGACTATATTCCACCCTACATATTAAACAATAGTTCAAACTGTAAATTAGACTATATTCCAGACTATATATTAGACTATAGTCCAGACTATAGACTAGACTTTACCCCAGACTAAAGATTATATTAGACTATAGTCCAGACTATAGACTAGACTTTACTCCAGACTAAAGACTAGACTATATTACAGAATATAGATTAGACTACAGTCCAGACTATAGATTAGACCTTATTCCACACTAAAGATTAGACTATAGTCCAGACTATAGACTAGACTATACTTCAGACTATAGATTAAACTTTTAGTCCTATAGCCTATAGATTACACTATATTTCAGACTATAGATTTGACTATAAACTAGACTATATTCCAGAATGTAGACTAGACTACAGTCCAAACTGTAGACTCGACTATGGTCCAAACTGTAGACTAGACTATAGTCCAGGTTATAGACTAGACTATACTCTAAACTATAGACTAGACTTTAGTCCAGACTATAGACTACACTGTAGTCTAGTATATAGACTATACTATGGTCTAGACAATAGACTATACTATAGACTAGACAATAGTCCAGACTATAGACTAAACTATTGTCCAGACCATAGATTAAACTATAGTCCTACAGACTACAGTATATTCCAGAATATATACTAGACTTTAGTCCAGACTACAGACTTTACTATAGTCTTATAGACTATTGTATACTCCGGAATATAGACTAGACTATAGTCCAGACTCTAGACTAGACTATAGCCCAGACTATAGACTATACTATAGTCCAGACTATAGACTAGACTAAATAATATACTATAGTCCAGACTATAGCCTTGATTATAGTCCAGGCTATAAATTAGACTGTAGTTCAGATAACAGACTAGACTATAATCCAGACTATAGTCTAGACTTTTTGCAAGACTATAGACTAGACTATAGTCTAGAATATATACTAGACAATATTCCAGTCTATGGATTAAACTGTAGTCCTGACTATAGACTGGACTATATTCCAGATTATAAATTTTTCTATAGACTATAGTCCAGACAACAGACTCGACTATAGCCCGGATCATAGACTAGATTATAGTCCAGAATATAGACTAGAGAATATTCCAGACTATAGATTAAACTATAGTCTTGACTATAGAGGGAACTATATTCCAGACTCTAGATTTTACTATAGACTATAGTACAGACCACAGACTAGACTATAGTCTGGATTATAGACTAGATTATAGTCCATACTTCAGACTTCACTATAGTGCAGACTATAGACTAGGATGTAGTCTAGACCATAGACTAGACTATAGCCCTGATTCTAGACTAGACTTTATTCCATATAGACTAGGCTTGAATACTTACTAGACTATATTCCAGGCTATAGATTAGGCTATAGACTATAGTCCAGACCATAGATTAGACTATAGTTCAGACTATAGACTATGCCTGAATTAAGAATAGACTGTAGATTAGGCTATATATCATAGTCCAGACAATATTTCATAGGTACATATTTTTTGACATGGATTATTTCCACTGAAAATATGTAACTAAATTCTCTGGGCCCTAGTTTGGTCTCTCCGAAATATCTATTAAATAAACTTAGCACACGTTTTCCATTTTAAGTTGTTGTTGTTGTTTTTGTTTGTTTTTTCATATTCTTCTTTATCATAAATGCGTGTTTTATGTTTTATTTGCATAATTTTTCTTTTACATTTTCTTCAATATCATATGAAGATTTGTAGCATTTATATTCTATTCTTTTTTTGGGTTCCAATTCTTTTATGTTTTTTGCAATCTAAACACAATTAATTTGTCTACATTTACTGCAGACGTGTATCTCTCTCTATATCCGTCCGTCCGGCCCAGTTGTCTATCTGGCTTTAGTCAAGAGTAGAATCTATCTATGCCCACTTTGTTTTATTTATTTGCAGTTTATCTTGTCGTCGTTGCCGTCGTGCGTGTGTGTCTCTAAGTGTCTAAGAGGTCTCTCTTCTTGTCTTATAAACATAATTTTATGCGTTTTCTTTAATAAAACTAAGTATTCTAGTAAATAGTCTTCGTTAAGAAAAAAATTTCAAAAAATTAATAGTTTATTCTTGGCTATAAATATTATTATAAAAGTTAATATTTGTGACTTTTACTTTACACATCATTTACGAGTATGTGTTCTACACTTGTGGTATTAGTTGAAGCATTAACAATTTCGATTTAAATAGTTGTTTAATATTAATTAAATTCTAAAGAAGCTGATTTAGGGGAAATAAATAAATCGAAAAGATACAAAACAAAATTGTACATATATATATCTAAGAATACTCTGAATTTTTAACTGTTCACTTAAAATAACCACTTTATGATCACCGGAAATGAATAATGTTACCAAAAAAAAGTATATCTGCTACCACTCTGAACAGAGCGTTGATTTCTTATAATGATAACTTTAAGAATTTGATATATTTTAAGCATCCCAGATCCTTTTATTTTTGTATAATTCTTTATACCTCACTTTTCTTTACTCTTTAAAATAATTTTTTTCTTTCCATTTTCATTTGTTTTACTTTTTTGTTTCCAAAATACCCACTTAAATGTCATTTTCATTCTGAAAAATTAAGTCCGAAAGGAGATCACGTCATGCCTCAAATAAATTGAAAATAAATCTTTTACTCAACACAGAGTGAAAGAAAGACTAAATTCAATATTATTAGATAGGAGAAAAAGAACTTTCGTACACTAGAACAAAATTTAGATAAATGAATAGACTTCAGTTGATAAAAAATACCAGATCATATTCCAGATTATAGACTAGACTATAGACTAGACTGTAGACTAGACAATAGACTAGACTATAGACTAGACTATAGACTAGACTATAGACTAGACTATAGACTAGACTATAGACTACACTATAGACTAGACTATAGACTAGACTATAGACTAGACTATAGACTAGACTATAGACTAGACTATAGACTACACTATAGACTAGACTATAGACTAGACTATAGACTAGACTATAGACTAGACTATAGACTAGACTATAGACTAGACTATAGACTAGACTATAGACTAGACTATAGACTAGACTATAGACTAGACTATAGACTAGACTATAGACTAGGTACTATAGACAGACTATAGACTAGACTATAGACTGACTATAAGACTAGACTAAGACTAGATATAGACTGACTATATACTAGACTATAGACTAGACTATAGTCTAGACCTATAGACCTGACTATAGACTAGACTAAGACTAGAACTATAGACTAGACTATAGACTAGACTATGATAGACTATAGATTAGACTATAGACCTAGACTATAGAACTAGACTTAGACTCGACTATAACTAGACTATAATTAGACTAACTATAGACTAGACTATGACTTAGACTATAGATTAGACTAGACTATAGACTAGACTATAGACTAGACTATAGACTAGACTAATAGACTAGACTATAGACTAGACTATAGACAGACTAAGACTAGACTAATGAACTAGACTATAGACTAGGACTATAGCTGGCTAATAGACTAGACTATAGGACTAGACTATAGACTAGACTAATACTAGCTATAGACTAGACTATAGACTACTATAGACGACTATAGACTAGACTATAGACTAGACTATAGACTAGACTACTAGACTATAGACTACTAGACTATAGACTAGACTATAGACTAGACTATAGACTAGACTATAGACTAGACTATAGACTAGACTATAGACTAGACTATAGACTAGACTATAGACTTGACTATAGACTAGACTATAGACTAGACTATAGACTAGACTATAGACTAGACTATAGACTAGACTATAGACTAGACTATAGACTAGACTATAGACTAGACTATAGACTAGACTATAGACTAGACTATAGACTAGACTATAGACTAGACTATAGACTAGACTATAGACTAGACTATAGACTAGACTATAGACTAGACTATAGACTTTTACTATAGACTAGACTATAGACTGGACTATAGACTAGACTATAGACTAGACTAGACTATGGACTAGACCATAGACTAGACCATAGACTAGACTATAGACTAGACTTCATACTACACTATTGACTAGATTATAGAATACTCTATAGACGACCCTGTAGACTTGACTATTTGCAAGTATTATCGAAGAACTAATGAACTTTCCTATGTATATATACCTACATAAGTTCCGAATTTCGCTCTATAGCTTTGCATCACTACATTATCGTAAACACTTTCTCCACCACCCACTAAAATAAAAAATTATTAAGTAAAAAATATATATAAAAACACTCTCGACAAAAATTGGAATAACATGACAAAAAGAAAAACAACAAACGACACCCAAAATTTGAACAGGAATACCAAGCGCGGACACATTTTATTAATTTTAGTATAATTTTGAGAGCGGTCCAGCGTGGTACAATTTTAAACGAATTCTTTTATTTATAACTAAAAACGAAAAACTTTTAAACGCGGGTGACAAAAATATTTCACTTAGAAAGCAAGCACTCACAAAAAATAAAACACATACTCAAGTTTATAGTCTGTACGACTTTTAGTTCTATATGTAACGGTAAAACTATATAAACGGATAATTAACGGAAACAATATTGTAAATAAATATATAGAATAACCAGAAAGGAAAAACAAATTTACTGCGTGTTTAAAATAATTAAAAATCATTGTGTTTATGAACAGAAAGAAAATCTTATTACAAATCTAAAAATATATAAAAACGTGTCCCTTTTTTTGAAGAAAGAAAAAAGTACCAGAAAAAACAAGACCCTTTTAATGTGTCTGTTTAAGTTTGTGCCGGCATACTTGAAGAAATTAAATTGAAATATTTATATTTTTGTGGTTTTACTCAGCTAGAGTAATGTGGTCTTAAACATTTTTGCAAAACGAGGAATAAATTTAAAAAGAAAATATTAATTTTGGCAAAAGTCCCATATTGTGTCCAGAAGTGTCTTGCGTCAATTAATTGAAATTGAAATTCATAAAAAAGAACTTGTTTCTTCACTAGCGGTAGCGTAACGATCGGTCGGATAATTGTATATTAAAATCGTTTCAAAATGTTTGCGCGGTTTCGTAATTTGTTTTCGAAAAATAAGGACGACTCGGAATTGGATGCGGAGACGGACGTGTCGTGCGAAAATGCGGGTAATATCGCGGAATCGTCGGATTATGTAAACGGTACTAGTGAAGAATCTTCAAAACTTGAGGGTTTAAATTTACTGAAAAGTATTGTGGAGAGTGAACAACAGGGTCAAAATAATAGCGAAGGGGTGGTGGAGAGTTCTGAGCCAACAACTTCCTTAAGTGAAGAAGTGGCAGCGTTATTAAAGAAAAGGCTTTCCAAGGATGAGGGCCAGGTGTCGGTCAATGAGGAGGAAAATAACTCTAGTCAGTCCACAGATAATGAACAACAAGTTCTTCCAGAAATTAACAATTTCAATGGGGTGTCTGAAAATATCGAAAAGGTTGAAGAGATCTCGAAAGACCCTAAAGAAAATGAAGAACTCGATAATGAGCCTAAACATACAGATAACGAAGAACTCTCTAACACAGATGTTCTTGGAAATAAAATGGTAGAAAATACTCATTCTGCTGAAGATCATATTAATTCCCAAGAGACTTCAGCAGAAGAGGTTTCTGAAAATATCGAAAAGGTCGAAGAAATCTCTGAAAACCCTAAAGAAAATGAAGATATCGATAATGAATCTAAACAAACAGATAACGAGGAGATTTCTGTCACAGATCAAGTAAATGATCTCTCAAATAAAACGGTAGAAAATACTGAATCTGACGAAGATCATACTAATTCCCTAGAAACTACAGCAGAAGAATCTTGCCAAGATAATAAAGAAACCGAAAATATTTCTTTACAAAACGACAATATTGAAGATTCTAATGAAAATACAGAAACTTCTAAAGAACCAATTGAATTATTCATAAGTGAAGAAGAAGGGGAAGATAAATCCACTTTGACTGAAGAAACAGATGCTTCCATTCTAAATAAGGAAGAAGACAAGACTTTGGAAACATCTGAGTTAGACAATGAAAAAGAAACTAAAGAACCCATTGAATTGTTCATAAGTGAGAATGAGGAAGTTTCCGAACTAAAAGTATCCGAATTAACGGAAACAGAACTACAAGAATCGGTAGAAAATGAAATAATTCTAGAAAATGCCTCCTTAGACCCTAAAGAACAAGTAGAAAATATTATTGAAACTCCAGACAACTCTCAGACCCACGAAACTGAAAACGAAAATCATCTAGTAGCTTCTAATGCACAAGAATTAAATACTCACATAGAAAATAAAACTGAAATAAAAGCCCATAACTCTCGTGATAATTCTCCCGAATTTTCTGAAAGTTCAAAATCTTTATCTCAATCTTCGATCAAAGAAAATCAAGCCTATTCAACTAGTCCAAATGTCGAAAAAGATTTAGATGAAACTAATCTTTGTCATAATTCTAGCATTGTGGTAGAGGATATACCTTCCGAGATTACAACACCCAGTCCTACAGTGGACAGCACTATATCGGGTAGCAGCAATGCCAGCACTTTGGATTCAGCTGCTGTCAATCAAATGCAGGATCCTAGCAAAATTATTGTCAATCCCATAGACAATAATGGTTTGGCTTGTAATGCTATTAATAATAAACTGAATGATATTGCTGAAGTGGCCGAATCTTTGGATGCTGTCATTCGCGATGTTCAAGAGAATGTTCAGACTGTAGAGGTTGAATCGAATCCCAGTCCAAGTGATAAGAAACTGGGTACGTTGAGGAGTACAAGTAGTGAGGTAAGTTGATGATTTTGTTTGCGTTGAATTAAATAACTCTTATTGTGAGTGTTATGGTCTGAAATTATTGAAGTATATCAGGGAGATTTTCAGATATATAAATAGGTTCCCGTTTAAGGAATAATGAGAAAAATCGGTTGAATATTGTTAAGTCCTCTTGTATGTTTATTGAAATCGTGTTTCCGAAGGCCCAAGATATGCTGGTAACTCAAATGTTGGGTCAATCTAAGAAGATAGACAGATAGATAGATAGATAGATAGATAGATAGATAGATAGATAGATAGATAGATAGATAGATAGATAGATAGATAGATAGATAGACAGATAGATAGGACTAGATAGAAGAGTACGATAGATAGATAGATAGATAGAAGATAGATAGATAGATAGATAGATAGATAGATAGATAGATAGATAGATAGAAGATAGAGCATAGATAGAAGATAGATAGATAGCTAGATAGATAGATAATAGATAGATAGATAATAGATAGATAGATAGCTAGATAGATAGATCTCCATCGATCGCTCGCTGATAGCTGCTCGCTCGCTCGCTCGCCGCTGATAGCTGCTCGCTCGCTCGCTCGCTCGCTCGCTCGCTCGCTCGCTGCTGCTCGCTCGCTCCTCGCTCGCTCGCCTCGATCCTCAGCTCTCTCGCTCAAGATGCTCGCCTCGCTCGCTGCTCGCTCGCTCGCTCTCTCGCTCGCTCGCTCGCTCCTCGCTCCTCGCTCGCTCGCTCTCTCGCTTCGCTCGCTCGCTCGCTCTCTCGCTCCGCTCGATCCTCTCTCGCTGCTCGTCGCTCGCTCGCTCGCTCTCTCGCTCCTCGCTCGCTCGCTCTCCCGCTCGCTCGCTCGCTCGCTCGCTCGCTCGCTCGCTCGCTCGCTCGCTCGCTCGCTCGCTCGCTCGCTCGCTCGCTCGCTCGCTCGCTCTCGCTCGCTCGCTCGCTCGCTCGCTCGCTCGCTCGCTCGCTCGCTCGCTCGCTCGCTCGCTCGCTCGCTCGCTCCTCGCTCGCTCGCTCGCTCGCTCGCTCGCTCGCTCGCTCTCGCTCGCGCTCGCTCGCTCGCTCTCTCGCTCGCTCGCTCGCTCTCGCTCGCTCGCTCGCTCGCTCGCTCGCTCGTCCTCGCTCGCTCGCTCGCTCGCTCGCTCGCTCGCTCGCTCGCTCGCTCGCTCGCTCGCTCGCTCGCTCGCTCGCTCGCTCGCTCGCTCGCTCGCTCGCTCGCTCGCTCGCTCGCTCGCTCGCTCGCTCGCTCGCTCGCTCGCTCTCGCTCGCTCGCTCGCTCGCTCGCTCGCTCGCTCGCTCCTCGCTCGCTCGCTCGCTCGCTCGCTCGCTCGCTCGCTCGCTCGCTCGCTCGCTCCGCTCGCTCGCTCGCTCGCTCGCTCGCTCGCTCGCTCGCTCGCGCTCGCTCGCTCGCGCTCGCTCGCTGCTCGCTCGCTCGCTCGCTCGTCTCTCGCTCGCTCGCTCTCGCTCGCTCGCTCGCTCGCTCGCTCGCTCGCTCGCTCGCTCGCTCGCTCGCTCGCTCGCTCGCTCGCTCTCGCTCGCTGCTCGCTCGCTCGCTCGCTCGCTCGCTCGCTCGCTCGCGCTCGCTCGCTCGCTCGCTCGCTCCTCGCTCGCTCGCTCTCTCGCTCGCTCTCTCGCTCGCTCGCTCGCTCGCTCGCTCGCTCGCTCGCTCTCGCTCGCTCGCTCGCTCGCTCGCTCGCTCGCTCGCTCGCTCGCTCGCTCGCTCGCTCGCTCGCTCGCTCGCTCGCTCGCTCGCTCGCTCGCTCGCTCGCTCTCTCGCTCGCTCTCGCTCGCTCTCTCGCTCGCTCGCTCGCTCTCTCGCTCGCTCGCTCGCTCGCTCGCTCGCTCGCTCGCTCGCTCGCTCGCTCGCTCGCTCGCTAGGCTTCGCTCGATCGATAGATTGCTTGATAGATTGATAGATAGCTAGATCGATCGATAGATAGTCTAGATCTAGCCTCTTTTGTCTGATAGTAGATCTTGATAGATTTGATAGTGACGCTATAGATTTGCTTGAATTTCAGATCCCGATATTTGTATTTACTCGACAAATTATGTATATCGATCGAACTCTAACAGTGAAAAAAATTCTCTTACAGGACTGGCACTCTCGTTCCACTGAAGACGATTCCTTTGCCACAGCTTCTGAAGGCAATTTTACTCTCCACTCCTCCTCATCCTTTCAAACGGCATCTGGCAGAACATCCTCCTTTATAAGTTGTGATAAAAACTCCTTCGATGCCAGTGAAGCAGATGACTCAACCTATGCCTTTGAAATGCCGGAATTAACCTCCCCTCTTAACATGTCATTTGAAGGATCGGAACAAAGTTATCTCTCAGCACAACAGCTTAATAATGAACAAGACAAAGAGCGAACACCCACTAAATTATCAGAGAGTGGTAGTCAAAATACGCATAATCTAGAAGATGATCAGAGTAGTATAGCCGATGTAGAGGAGTTGCATAGTGAAAGTGTAACACCTACACCAGAACAACACTATGATGGTTATCATGTGGATAGTATACCGGTGGAATCAGAAACTGAACTGGAAGTAGCGGGCATAGTTAATGCACCCTCTTTGGACATTATAACGGAACACACATTAATGCCCATGTCTAAAACACCCGAGGTGAGCCCTACAACCTCAACAAATGTTTGTTCGAATCAAAACCCATTAACAAGCACACAAATAAGTGTGAATGAGGCTCCGGATTCGAATGATCAACAAGAGCAAGAAAATACTAACAACAACAATAATAATAATAAACCAAATGCAGCATGGCGGCGCAGTAAATATTATGAGAATATAACCAAGCAAACCATTAAGGGATTTTTATAAATCTTTGAAATTTTTTTTGGAATTTTTTAAGAAATTTTAATTTTAAAGTTTTTTTGTTTTGGCAAACATTAACCCTGAACTTGAGGTCATTTCACAAAATTGCTTTTTGTTTATATATCTTTTGTTTTTGTTTTTTTTTTCATTATTTATTTTTACTAATTTTTATTGGATTTATGCCTGCTAGTTTTTAATTTAATAGAATTTTTTGCTTTGTGCGTGTGATTTTTCTGAAGCGTGTTGGCGTCATTTTTATAAAATTTTAAAATTCTTTGTTATTTTAGTTTTTATTTTTATCGAATTTTATTTTTTTTTGTTTTAGTAATTTATTATAATTTATTAATAACTGTGCTTGTGTGTTTGTTTTAAATTTATTCTAACAAATTATAAATAATGAGAATTCCAAATATTGTGTATGATGGGCTATAAGTCTTTTTGTTGAAGCCTATAATCAAAGAATAAACAAGAAGTGAAACGCTGTCATTTTTTTACAACAATAACATTACGCTCTTCTCACAGACGAGTGCTGTGTAAATCCAACACATATGTAAAAATGTTATTCTCTCTCCAAACTTCAAAACTTTTTCGCGAAAATTTGAGGATAATAGCACTTTGAAATATTTTTTATCACTTAACATTATATTTTATAATTTTTTTGCACAATTTAAACACATTTAATAGCCCGAAAATAATATATTTTCTACAAACGAAAAAAAAATATTTTTTATTTTTTGACATTGAATTTTTGTTGGTTGAAATTAAAACTAAAAAAACAATGTTGTAAATTTTCGTATGGTAAACGTAAAATATATTTCAAATAAATAATTTATTTTTCCAATATTATAGATTAAAAAACAAATAGACATGTTTATAAAATGTTTGTAGATAAAATATGTGGAAAATATCTCAAGAAACCTTTCAAAGTATAAATTGAAATGTAATATTTTTTTTCAATATTTTTCAATACGATTTTTTGCAACTATGTTGGCTTGAGAATTCTACTAATACATTCTTAGAGTTAGGTACCGGATGACAGTAGACTTAGGTACTTTTGACAGCAGTTTCATTTCTTATTTATTCTTTGCCTATAATACTTATTTTAAACATTCAAAATATTTTTACAAAAAAAAATAAAAAAATTGGCAATTTATATAAAAAAAATCCAAATAAATTTTAAAATTGCCATTGTGTTTTAAGTGAAAATTTAGTGCATTTATTTATTTTTTTAAAAAATATATTTGTTTATTTTTCTTTTTCTTTAAACTAATCAAACATTTTAGTCAATATTTAGTTTTTAATTCAAATTTATTTATAGTTGTAATAATAAAATAGTGAAATTATTATTTTTTAAAATAAATAAATAAAAAATATTATTTTAATATTAAGTTGTTGTTACGTGTGTATATAATATTTTCTTTTTCAGCATTTTGTTTTTTGTGTTCAAAATATTATTAAAATATTAACAGCTTTAATTAAAAATTTTGTTCAAAATTTTAAATTAAAAAGCGAAAAATTGTTTTGATTCGAACAATAATAATCTTTTTAAGATAATTTTTTGTTAAAATTTCTTAGGTATTCATAAACGATTTATAAAGTCATCAATGTTTTAAGAGAAAAATTTTGGCTCAGAATCACCTCAGTCGATTTAACTATGTCCGTCTGTCCATGCGCACGCTACAGGTCGCAAATTTTTAAGATATTTGGAAGCTTATTGAAAAAGGTTTAATTGATCCATTATATCGTCTAGTACCCACACTTATAAACACTAATAACACGATGAAATTCTGCATTAATAAGAATAACTCTATTGTTCCGAGTTTTATATACCCTTCACCATAGCGTGTTAAACAAAAGCATCCCCCTTCATATGGTTTCGCTTACTTCCGGAATCTACATGCTTAATTTCATATTTCAAGGTTCAATGTTATAGAAAATTCAAAAAGTACCTTTAGAAAAACGGAAAAGTACCAAAAAAATCCCTTTCATACGACATCACCTATTCCGTCCCTACATGTTTAATTTCATGTTTCGAGGTTACATATTATAGTAAAAACAAAAAGTACCTTTGGTGGCCTCCGGTAGGTTAGTGTTCTAGTCTGGTAGACCGTATGTGGTGGGTTCGATTCCCACCTGAAGCACTGGTTAAGGAGCGCACAACAGGTCCGATAGAGACCTAGGTGTATTTCTGCGGATTTGATGTATATATGTACATCCTCCTTTCAAACTAACTAACGAACCTTTTTAAGAACGAAAAAGTACTAAAAAATCCCTTTTTATATGATCTCACTTACTCCGGGCCCTATATAATAGAAAATTAAAAAAGTACCTTTTTAAGAGGGAAAAAATACTAAAACATCCCCTTTTATATGTTCTCACTTACTCCGGGCCCTATATGCTTAAATTCATGTTCCTAGGTTCAATATTATAGAAAATTAAAAAAGTACCTTTTTAAGAACGAAAAAGTACCAAAATATACCCTTTTGCAGGTTCTCACTTATTCCGGGCCCTATATGCTTAATTTCATGTTTCTAGGTTCAATATTATAGAAAATTCAAAACGAACCCTTTGAAGAACGAAAAAGTATCAAAATATTCCCTTTTAGAGGTTCTCACTTACTCCCAGCCCTATATGCTTAATTTCATGTTTCTAGATTTAATATTATAGAAAATTAAAAAAGTACCTTTTTAAGAAGGAAAAAGTACTAAAACATCCCCTTTTATATGTTCTCACTTACTCCGGGCCCTATAGGCTTAATTTCATGTTTCTAGGTTCAATATTATAGAAAATTCAAAACGAATCTTTTGAAGAACGAAAAAGTACCAAAATATTCCATTTTAGAGGTTCTCACTTACTCCCAGCCCTATATGCTTAATTTCATGTTCCTAGGTTCAATATTATATAAAATTCAAAAAGTACCAAAATGTCCCCTTTTGTATGTTCTCATCTCATTATAGAAAATACCAAAAGTACCTTTTGATGAACGAAAAATGTCCAAAATGTCCCCTGTTCATTTTGTTGATTTTAAATAGCATTTTTCCCAATCGTATGTCTGATAGAATTATTGAAGATTCGGATCTCGCAGATGTCTGGGGTTTTTCTGAAAACTGATTTTAATAAATACACGGACAGACGGACATGGCTAAATCGACTTCGCTACCTATAAGGATCCAGAATATACTTATATACTTTATAGGGTCGGAAAGTTATATTATAGAAATTTCAAACTTATGTATACCCTTCTCTCGAAGGTGAAGGGTATAATAATCCACATTTCTAACATATTCGCGGATGCAGGGTATCATATGGTCGGCCATGCCCGGCTATACATTCACACTTTGTTTACTAAATGTAAAATGTTTTATTCAAAATTTGATTTTTCACTATTTTTTTTTTTTTTTTTTTTTACAAAAAATCTACTTTTTACAACAAAAATTGTATTTTTCACTAAAAATTTGATTTTTCACAAAAAGACTGACTGTATTTTAAATAACAATTAAATTTTTTACTAAAAATTCGATTCGATTCGATTAAAAAATAAAATTTTTACTAAAAATTCAATTAACCAGGAGATATTCAATTATTCGAATTTTTACCCACAATTTAAAAAAATGATTTTTACTAAAAATCTTAGAATTCACCAAAAATTCGATTTCTTCACTAAAAATTTCATTTTCTCTATAAAGATTCACTAAAAACCAAATTTTTGTTAAATGATTTTTTGTTTAGTTTGTATATTTCTTATTGTTTTCATTATTTTAACTAGTTTAATTTTTCATTTCAAATATTTACTGTTTGCTGGGTTAAATAATTTTTACTTAAGCGGGAGTTTTAATGCATACTTTAAGGCAGGAATAATAAATGTTTGTCTATTGGTTGCACTTGAAAAAATTTGAGTTATAAAACTTTTAAAGTGTGGAGAAATATTTTATTGATATTTAGTAAATCAGAATCGAGTCGATCAGTATAGACTTATATAGAGTCGATAGTATCGACTAAAAAATAACTAATCGTTATCGATTGGAATACAATTGACCAGTATGGATTAAAATGCTGTCGATCTTTATTGACAAAAATATAGTAGATCACTATTGATTAGAGTTAATATAGAATAACTAATAGATTAGTATGATATAATCTATTAATATAGAATAACTAATAGATTAGTATGAACTAGTAGTCTATCTATCGGTTTAGACATTGAATTCAATCTACTAAAATAGATCGTTTTGTCTTGAATAAAAGTGATCTTAATGGACTAGAGAGTCAATTGGAATCGACTAAAATAATATTCGATTGTTATCGACTAACATACAGTCGATCGGTATCAAACTGAATAGAGGCGATCTCTACCGACTAGTATATACTGGAATCGTTTCTAAAATTACAGAAATTGAAAACTATCGATCTTATCTACTAAAATTGATCGTTATCAACTAGAATACTATCGATCATTAGGGTCAATTAGAATCTACTAGATATATACACGATTGTTTTCGACTTAAATAGAGTCGATCGGAGTCAGCTAGAATAGATACGATCTCTATCTATTAGCATCTCTATCTATTAGAATATATTCGATGACTAAAGTACAGCCGATCGTTTTTAACCAGAATAGAGACGATCTCTATCGACCTTTACCGAACAGAATTACACAAATTGAAAATTATCGATCTTATCTACTAAAATAGATCGTTATGAGCTAGAATACTATCGATCTTTAGGGACAAGAGGGTCAATTAGAATCTACTAGATATATAGACGATTGTTATCGACTTAAATAGAGTCGATCGGAGTCTCTATATACTAGAATATATTCGATCACTAAAGTACAGTAGATCGGTATCAACCATAATAGAGACAATCTCTACCGACTAGAGTACATTCGACCTTTATCGATTAGTATACACTAGAATCGTTTCTAAAATTACAGAAATTGAAAAGTATCGATCTCATCTACTGATATATATCTTTATCAACTAGAATAATATCGATCTTTAGGGACCAGAGGGTCATTTAGAATCTACTAGATATATAGACTAAAATATAGCCAATCGGAGTCAGCTAGAATAGAGACGATCTCTATCTATTAGCATATACTCGATCACTATCAACTATCGATTGTATGTACTAAAAAAGATCGTTATCGACTAGAATACAACCGATCTTAATGGACTATAATACAATCGATCGATATCGGGATAAGGTCTCTTTCTATCAAAAGAATGTATTCGATCTTTATGGACGATATCCATCTCCTAAGATAGAGAATATCGGCATAGATCTGTTACGACCGGTATCATCTTAAAATAGACTCGATCGGTATCGACTACAATAGAGTATATCTCTGTTGACTAGTTACTACAGTTATCGGCTCGAACATATCCAATCGTTATCTTAGAATATGGTCGATCTATATCGATTAAAATAGAGTCGATCGGTATCGATCTAACTGACATAAAATGGATCAGTAACTACGACTTGGAAAGCTTCGTATGATTTCGACAAGTAAATGGACTTACATTCTGGATACTGATTGATAATAATAACTTTC